ACGACATTAATATTCTGTTCAAGATGCCCAGGGTATGTGATCATGGTTATGCTCCAAAGCAAAAATTCTTTAGAATAATAAGCAAATACGGCGTTAATTTGCATTTTCTGACCTTGAGTGTATGAACAAATTTAATAATCTGTAGAATGGCACATACATATGTATGTATGTTTGTACGTAAGTTATGTATGTACATATATGTAAAATATATGTAGATATGTACTTACATACATAGATACGTGCTATCGCATAACATGAATGAAAAAAAAAACGGAATAAATTTGAATTCAAGCGGAGTAGAGGAGTAGATTTCAAATTTTTTCAAAAACCGTAGTAAATCTAATCTGATCATATTGGAGTCCAAACATTAGTAGGGAACAAATTTTTTACATTTTAACGCTAATGACCCACAGATGGCGGTAAAACACAGGGTTGTATCAGACTTTCGACGTGGTTTCGAGTTGGTTAGCTTTTAACCATCTCACTGAAAGGGTTAAGGCCAAAACACAATAGCGCAGTGGCAGTGGCAGTGACAGTTTTTAAAATCAGCTGTTACTGCTAATATTGGCAGTCAATGCCGCAGCAAACACAATACGGCGTTGTCAGTGACTGCTTTTTTTGACATTCCCTTTTGTTTGTTTACATTTTTGTTGTTGCCTTTTAGGCTTCAGTGACATCAACAGATGTTGGCTGTGTTTCATTTATGTCAAATTCAGCATGCGAAGTTTGCTGCGATGAAGGCAGTGGCAGTGAATTTAGAATTTGGGCTAAACTGAGCAGTACTGCTAGCTGCCACTGCTGTATTGTGAGTCGCTTCATTGGACACCACACTTTCTAAAAAACAGCTGATTTCGAAAAACTGCCGCTGCCACTGCCACTGCGTTATTGTATTTTGGGCTTTAAGTGCTGTCATTTTTATATAGCGAAACTATGCTAAATCAAGTGGATTATCGGGATAACCAACTCAACAGCCATAACTAAGTTGTTAGCTCCGGTGGGGACATGGTATAAGTGATGCGGTTGAGTTCGATTTGAAAAGGTTAACTTTTTGGTGGGGACATGGTATAAACGTATAAATTTCAGCAAAATTCATGCCTGACTGATTGCCAGGTGGTCGATTTCGCTACGAACACATAAAAAACAAATCGCGGAAAGCCTCGAAATCTTGTTGTGGAGTTGTAATCTTAAAAATCTGAAGTCAGAAAATCGCCAAACGCTTGAAAAGCTTGTTGTGGAGTTGTACTCTAAAGAGCGTGTCAGACGTGGCAATATATTTCGATGCAATAAATTTCGGAAAGGCTGTCAAATTGAGAAATCAATTGCATGAGCAGACACTCCTTGCATGGAAAGTGTCTTTCGAAAGAGGTTTTTATTTCCGAAAGGCGAATTGCAGGAAATATTTCTGAAACCGCTTTTTGGCTATTCACACAGCGAATGAGTTTCTGGCAATCAATCTTTCTCGATACAAAATGCAACCATGGGCGGTGGGTGGGGTTCGCTTGTTTGCTATTACTCTTGTAAAAGCGAGAACGAAAACGCGAAAAATGAATACTCGACGTAAGCTGCTGTTGAAAAACAATAATTTAACGATCAAGTATATTAATCAAAATAATATATTTCAAGCATTTTTGATATTTAATTCAACAATATTTTTTATCATTTTACACAAATTCACGATCAGTGCCACATGGCAACACTCGATTAGTTTGACAGCACTTGCACAAGAAATAATAAGTCCCCTTTCAGACACGTCAAGTCTTGCTTTCAAGTCTGCTCGTTCGTCGGCGAAGGAGATGGGAAGAGAGGGGAAGAGTACAGATACCTCCGTACCGTCAATTCGTTTCAAGTTTTCTTGTCTCTTTTGATATTTTCGTTGCTTCCCATTTAAGAACCAAGGACTTGAATTCAATTAAAGTTGACGCGTGTGGAAGCAAATAGAAAACACAAAAGAGAATGCGAAAAATTGCTTTCAAGACTTGACGTGTCTGAAAGGGGACTAATTGCTAGTGCAGCACGAGCAAGTTGAAATATATTTCCGAAATCGATTTTCGCTCTGCAGTTGCAGTCACACCTTGCAACATTTATTTCTGAAACTGATTTCCGAAAAGTGACAAAAAGATCTTTCTGGCTGTTCACACATCGAAATAAAATTTCTCTTTCTCAATTTGACAGCGAATTGCGTGCGAAAGATGGAAATATTGCCACGTCTGACAGGCTATTAATTCTGTACAGTAAAATGAATTTTTCTGCATTGCTAATTTTTTTTTTAGTTTATTAGGTGTGTTTTAGATTCACTAGATGTTATGTAATCTACATTTCTAATAAACTTGGCAATGAAAAAAGTAAAATCTAAAAAACATTTGGTGGTTGTGGTTTTGGTGAGAAAAAGGTGCTTTGGCAACACTGGTTCAAAGTGCTAACAGCTGGTAGTAATTCACCATGAAAAGGGAGGTGTAAATTATTTATTGCTGCAACATTTTTTCTCTTGTCATTTGTGTAGTTTTTTAGTATATTTATTAAAAAAATATCTGGTAAAATTAACTATATGCCAAATATTCACTTATACAAAGTGAAAAGCCAGTCTCGACAATCAGGAATTGAATTAAACTAATTCATTTTGCGCAGTTCTACGTTGCTGCTATCCCAACTGCTGCAGACAATAAAAAATTGGTACCGGTTTGTTTATTAATTTTACATTTTACATTTGGGAACTATGTATACATATACATACATACATATCGTCGCTTAAAGTACAAAACCTCGTATCGTCATTCTGCAAAACCGCGTAACTGACATTTGCTGCCAAAAATTGGATTTGCTCACACAAGCTCTTGGCTCAATCCTTATCCATTCGTCCTTAAATATACTAGCCAGAAATGCGATTGCTTTATAAAATAGAGAACCATTTTGAAATAACAGTGTTTTTACTCTAGAAAATAATGTATGCAACCTCGCATACGCGGTTTTGCATTTTGTTGATACGCGGTTTTGCATTTTGTTGATACGCGGTTTTGTACTTTAAAGGACGATGTGTATGTACATATGTACATTTTATAATTTATGGAACCGCACACGCATAATAAATATGCATGCATATGTTTGAATTTATGTAAATATAGAAAATTAGTGCAAATCTCAACTAAAATAGAATAAGGTGACCAAATGCATTTTTCTTTTCATTCATTTATCGGATGAAAAATTAAAAAACTTTGCAGATTTTTACGTCAAAGTTGACAAACCAACAACATATTCTATCTATTTTAAAGCCAAGGATCAAAAGTTTCGGAAAGTTTCAAAATTTTCTCGGCTTCAAAAAAATAAAAACTAAAATAAATCACCAACGGCATTTAACAGAAAGAAAAAAGAAAAACAAAAATACATAAAGACTTACAACTTTGTGAGCCTTGCTGGATTCTTGGTAATGGGGAAATTCAATGGATGGCTACGGTACTATAATTGAAAAAGTTACTAAGCTTAATGTCCCTCGAATATAATTTTAAAAAATGTTTGCAAATTTTTTTGTATTTATGTGATAGGTTTCTTTTGGACCAGCATAAAGCCATACGTTATTAATACATTTATCCGAAATTCAAATTGCATGAGAATATCTGGAAATAGGCGGCCATACAAATTAAGAAAAAGTAGCTTTATCAGTTTTGTAGTTATGTTTTCCCAAAATAAATTGTTCTATTATGCGATACCTAAGTGGATAAGTCCAGAGATCAAGCGTTAGCTTTTTATAAGACAGTTGGTTCTTAATCTTGCCAACACGTTCATATGCAAATAGATACTTTAAGATATATCGAATCTGATTATCTTAAATTTTTGTAAAATTCCTCATACTTTCATACCTAGGTATGTATGTATGTATAAGATTTTCCATTATCGACATATAGACGGCTGAGTGGAAGATCGCTCTATCTTCGCTACCGATTCGACAGCGCCATATCTCAGCAAACAGTAGAAAAAACGCCCTATTTCGGAATTGGGTTGAGGAACGCAAATGGTTCAAAAACTCCCTATTTTAGCTGCCGATATGTTTTGAATTTATATTCTGCTTTATCCTGAGGTTTCGCCCAAAAATTTGTATTCCGCCCATATTAAATACATGGAAACCAAAAGTGAAAAGTGAACCGGTTTGGGGAAAATGAAACTCATGATAAGGCTGATCGAGAAGGGCGTTTCCGAACCAAATTCTGAGATGAGGCGATCTTCCACTCAACTAACTATAAATGAATGTATTTTTTCTTGCATGGTTTGTAGGCAAGAAATAACATACATTATTTGTAACTTAAAAAAACCAAAACAAGACAGAAATGCACCAACCAACCCACCTAATACAAAAATAGATAGTGTAAGCGTTTAATTGAGGCGTTTGAGAGCTCTCAATACAAACGACAAGAGTTCATTGTTCATTATTGAACTAAAAAGGCTAGAAGACATCGAATACTCATGAAAAATTGTAAGGCGTAAAATGATAGATAAAAAATGGAAGCTTAGTACATACTCTCCTCATCCGCTTAAATCCTTGTGTGTACATACATACATATGTATGTATTAATGTGTGTATATGGTACGCACTTACATACATATTTATAAAATTGATTCTCTAAATTGGACCGCAAGCGTTCAATATTCAATATTTCAGCATTATTGTTTCGACAGTAGACTTGGTGGGTAATTGAAGTGTAATTCAATTCCCCGACCATTTTTTTTTATATCGAAATTTGTTTAAAGAATTTATCCGCTTGCATTTAATTTTGTTAACTAATTTTTCTGGAAATTTATATCTATATATTTTTCCTTAGGTGCATTTTGCCAACAACAACCGAATGTACGCCGGATCCGAAATGCCAGAATGTGAACGTGGTTATCAAAGCCTGGACCCAGCAAGTGAGTGGAGTTAATTACAAAACATTTAAAGCATACAAATTTCTCGAACTCAATCAGAAGAAGTGCTTTGAACTGAAAAACTAATTAACTTTCTGGCTTTGCTTACCCTTTATAAAAAAATAGAAAGAAATTTAACAAAATCACAACCAAATTTGAACTGTTCACTTTTGCTTATAACTTCAAAGTAAAAAAAATATATATATATAAAAAAAATTTGTCAAAATTTAAAATAAAATTTTATAAGTGTATACTTACTAATTAAAATTAAATAAAAATTCTCAATCATTAGGCGCTATGCTGCGGATTTCACCTAACGACAACATATACTTCAACCGGGGCGAGAACAGCGAAAGTGTAATTGATCTCACTTGTATTGGAAAGCAGCCGATTACCTACAAAGTCAGTACCTTTATACAAAAAAATAAATAAATAAATACATGCAGTGAGCTAAACAAACTGGGACGCGACATTTTAGCAAGGTTTTGTCATTTTTCTTTAGTTTATTTAATGTTTATTATTTTTTGTGAAAGTATAGCTGACGCAATATGAATTCAAATTTCAGACTTTGTGTACAAATTGTGAAAACTCTTCTTAATCAGTCTCTTTAGACAACATTTTGGTATCTAGTTTTGTAGCCCATTAAATTTTAGTATAATAAAGTGCAAATTTGAAGTATGTAGAGTTACCGTAGATTTTTGACCATTCTTTTTGTAGACGGTGTTGCGCATTTTTTTCATATAAAAAGAATTGTCGAACACACATAATGCCGAATTTCCACAGGTATTGAAATGACAAAGAATGTATGCCATTTAAAACAAAATGCCATGTGTAAATGAACTTAATGACTACTTTTATTAATGTATTGACACGATTATTTTTTAATGCCCAACTTTGTCATTTTTGCCATTTAATGCCGAGTGGAAATCCAGCATAATATACATATTATGTACTTTGGATTTACATGGCGTTTGCTAAGTATAGAAAGGTAATAAACATTACTTAAACTAAAGAACAAGTAATTTTTAATCAAAAAACAAAACTGACCAATTCTCATATAAAAATTAAAGATTATCGTTAATTTCCTCATGATCGATCCAGTGATCGAATTTAAACCAAATTACTATGGGACCACCTGTGAGGTAAAACCTCTCCTTTAAAAAAAAAAGAATTATAAAAATCTGTTAAAGTGGTAAGTTATGCGGTAACATACAAACCCAAAAAAGAAATCCGATGGATTGATAACCTCCTCCTTTTTTGAACCAGGCAAAACTTACTTAAATGTCGCGTCCCAGTTTTTATTTTGTTCACTGTACATACATATACATTTCTAATTTACTTTTATTCTCATTCAGATTCAAACAACAGCACCAGAAAAATTTCGGGTACGTCCTCGTTGCGGCTATTTGGCACCGTCTGAGACAGTGTCAGTTAGCATTATGTTGAAGCAGGACTACCATTTGGGTGAATCGCCGAAAGATAAATTTCTCGTGATGTGTATGCCAGCACCTGTGGGTATTGAGCCATCACAGCAGAGCATGAGCGAAGTGTGGAAGCTAAAGCCTCCTAGTGGCGGTGATATGGAGCAGCATCGTCTAACCTGTAATTACAGAGGCAGTGCAAGTGGTGCAAGTACACCCGGTCAATGCGTCTGTGGGCAGGCTGGAGGGCGTATTGGTGGCCCGGATGAAGGGATTGCATCGGGAAAGGGTTCCAACACTATTTTGGATGTGAGTACTATAGCATTTGCTTCAAACTACGTAATTTGCAGATTGAAATCAGATTTACAAATGATTAAGTCGTTCTTGAACTTAGTGAGTTTGAAAGTTAAGGCCGATTCATCGTTCTAGTTGTGAACTAAAGTTGAAGTTGATTTCACAACTAAAAAGCGTTCAGAACTTTTCTAAGTTGTTGGTTGTTGTTGTTGTGCTTCTCTCTGGAAGAGCAACTGAAAAAAGTTCTGAACGTTTTTGAGTTAACTCAACTTCAGCTTTAATTTAGTGCCAGAACGGTGAATCCGCCTTAAAGCATGTCACTTTGCAAAGGGCACTATACAAATTGAGAGCAAATAAATAAATTGGCATAGCTCATCTCACAAAAGCTTTGAAGTCCAGTCAAGTGGTGGTGGTAAAGTTGCTGGAAAATTCTGAAATTAGACTGCAATCGCTTTTGTATGTAATATAGTAATATATCGCACGCCGTCTTCAAAAAAGTCACAACTCAAAATTTGGCATTTTTGAGATTATGAGGTAAAAAAAAGTACGCAGAGCTTTTGTTTACCTTTCAGCAAAAGCTGGAGTAAATCTTTGTTATAATTTGTATAAAAAAAAACCTAAGGTAAAGTCGCCCTTGCCCATGTGCTAAGAAATAGTTTTTTCGTATTTTCTGACACGTATTATTTTGAGTTTTGACTCTTTACAGCCCATTCAATTTTAGTCTAATAATGTACAAGTCTCAAGTGACTAAAAATTTCCGGTGATTTTTTAGATTTTTTTTTTGTCGCATTTGCTTCCATATAAGGAATAATTACAATTTATTTTCATATGGAACCCGCAACACCTTCGGCTAAAAAAATTCTAATAATTAACGGTAATTTTTAGCCACTTGAAACTTGCACATTATCAGACCAACGTTGAATGGGCTATAAAACTGTGTACTCAAAACTATTCTAACACTTCTGAGAAAAAAGTTTGACATTTGGGTGAAAATTTGTAGCAGTTTTTGCAGTTGTCTGCGAAGTTATAAACTTGGGGCTACATATATGGGTTTTGTCAGAGAATGAACTGTATTTCGATTGAAAATTCCTAAAAATAAATAAATAAACATGAGCGGGAAACAATATCACTTTGAAATGGGGGTGCTACGGTATTGGTCTATACTGTATATATTTAAATATAACTTATTAATTAATAAATAGTAAAATTCTTTTATCAAAAATATATAGGTTTAGGTAAAAAAGGCTTACGTATTATGGCTGTTCAGCATATTTTGCATATGCTCCAGCATTTGCATATTCGTTGCATTTGTAACATTACAACAATAAAATGCACCCGGTTGTCATGCCCTTGCCTTGCCTTGAAAAAGCTTCTCTTAAGATCCAATTGCCGTTCTAAAGTGGCTTAAAACTGGGGGTCCCTCCATTTGTGTAACAACATCGAGGCACACAACATAAGTTGGAGAAGAAACTCGGCCAAACACTTTGCTAAAGTGTAAGCGAAAAAATATTATTATGATGACAGTACGAATGGCAATTATAATAGGGAGGTTTTAGTTTTTTAAACTATAATTTTATTACATTATTATTTTGGATACATTTTACAAGTCGTAACACACTACCTACTATCCTCAACCTACTCAATTGTTTTATATTTCTTCCCTCGCCAGCTTTCTTCACACGCCAAGCTCCTGGAGAGCCAATTAAGGTTTACACAAATTCTGCAATGCATTACGCTCGTCTTTTTGTTGGCTCTGTGTGTAGCCGTTGTCTATCTTTGGAAAACGCAATTGAATCGCATGTCCGGATGCATCGGCGAGGAGGAATGCAGCGCTGCAGTTGCAGGCAACTGTCCTGGGCGGAATCTATAATATTTACTTACAAAATGCAATTTGACCAAACAGCACCTACTGGCACCCACAGCCACAGCAGATAGGTTGCGTAGACGAGGTCATGGCAGCAGCAATGCTCCCGACAGCGAAGTTGACTGTAGCGATTTTGAAGAAGTTATCGGCGGCGGTGATGGTTTCGATTACGATGAATCTACTCTTGATAAGGGCGGTGTTGCGGGAGGTGGATACCTGCTTGGTCTGATCGCATTTGCACGTAAATTTGCGCGCATTATAATCACGATTTCGATGCTCTTTTGTATTATATTTATCTCGTTTTATTGCTGCTCCGAGCCGAGGGCAACAATAACCGCACTGGCTCCGCCAATTACACCTCCATCCACATCTATAGAGGTACATTTACGGACGCAGGCGCATAGAAGATGGCCATCAAATTGATGAGTTTATATGTAATTTATTATATTTTAAAATGCATTAACTATGAACAAAAGTAATATGGGCAATATATGAATTATGTCTGTACAAAATGATTTTTAGGGAGAACATAAATTTGCCTAAGCATATTTGTATACATTGTTCACGTTGTGCATTCTAGAGCAGGGATGGCCAGATTGTTTGCAGTCAACGAGACAGCAAGTGCTACGCAAGAGGTAAATCGGTTTTCAGGGTAAACGGGGTGTACAAAATACATTAAAAACATCATATATATTTGTAATGAGAGTCGAAATACAAGAAATTTGAATACGCTCTTAATACCCCTTCATGCTGGCTCTTGATGTTACCCCACATCTACCATCTAAATGTGCCAAGCCGGCTCCTAAGTTTAAAAGGCCACCTGGAAGCCACTTTGCCCATCTCTGTTCTAGAGCAAACGAACAAAATAAAAGCGCTGGCCAATTGCATATTTAAATTATGAATTATGTAGAGCAAACCATGCACAAAAATCTATTATCAATAGGGGATCGTCGAAGTCTTGTAAAGCCTACGGGGGAAAGCTTGACAACTCGGGCACCGTGCTAGGGCTTTGCAAGACTTTGGAGAATCTCCCTAATATTGTTTTGTAAAATCGGTATGATTATATCCCCAGACAATAGGATAATAAACATTTACATATTTATATGTTTAAGGTGTATTTGTGCGCATTTACTTTTCAAAATACGTATGTATCTATATTGAAAAAAAAAACAAACTTAAATATATTATAAAATAAAGGAATAACATTCAGAAATATTTTGGTAATCATTGGTAGAAATTTGTACTTATTCACTGCGCCCAACAACAAAACGGAAAAGAAACAGCTAAGACTGCGAATTTCATAAACAGAAAAAAGTTACTTCGAAGTTCGAACGCACAGTAAGGCCGATCTAGTGTGAAACCAATATAAGGGCAAATAATTCAAAAACCACATGCAGAAAGATGAAAATACATGCAGCTCATCAGATACATAACTACGTTTTCACTACTTAAGAAATATAAAAATTCAGTTAGTAATCTGTTTATTTTAGTTATGCTTTATTAAAAACCCAAAAATGAACTACATATGAGATGTACAAATACTACAATAAGTATTTCTTGTTCTTCCAAGTCTTATTATGTTTAATTGCATAATAATTATAATAAGAAATCAATCAATACAAATAATAATGTAGAGAACATCACATCAGCTTATGCTGGTGTGGGCTCTAGTCGTAACTAAGTGATTTACGTTATATTTTATTAACAGTCAACAGACGGGAAAACTATATTTAAACAAAAAGTATAAAAAACAAGCTCAATTCTCTCAGTTGTGATTCTCAGAGATTTTTTATTTCTTTTTACGCCCACGTTTCGCAGGACCTTTCCCAGTTTCATTGTTTTCAGATGTTTGCTTTTCTAGCTCCTTTGTATCGGCAGCTTGGATTTCCTCTGGACTAGCATCGCCATTCGCCTTTGTCGAATCCTCAGTGTCTGTTGATAGTTTTTCCTCATCTTTAGCTTTTGGTGGTTTGATTTCTTTATCCTGGACAGCTACCGCTGGTGCTGCTTTCTTCAATTGACCGACTGATTTACCTAATTCTGTTTTCGATGGCTTTGGTGGCTGCACTTCGCTTTCGACCAAAAATATACTGTGCTGCCCTCCGCTGGACACACGAATAATTCTTTTACCTTCCGTTTGTTTGCTTATAATTTGTACGGGTTCTAGTGCATCATCATCAGACGCAGTTCCTAGCTGGTAATTGGAACCCATCCCCCACGAGTACAGTTTACCGTCGTCAGTTAATGCAAAAGATTGTGCCTCACCACAAGACACATAAACAACAAATTTGTCCGCCAAACTTTTTATAAACTGCAGCTCCTTGATGTCACTACTCACACTTCCGAGTCCAAGGCGGCCATAGTCGCTGCGCCCAATAGAATAACATGTGCCGTCATTCTTAAGTAGTAATGTATGATGCTGTCCGCCAGCAATTTGTTTAATATTTTGGAATTTCGTGTCAATAGGTTTAATAATAGTTGCAAGGTCTTTGGCATATGCCAACTGCTTATAATTGTTCAGTCCGAATGCCCAAATTTTACCAGTTTGCGATTCCCGCAAGAATGTGCAGTAATTTGTGGCCCATATAGCCTCGATTGGTTTGCCACGTTTGATGACGACTTCTCCCGGACGAAGCAATTCTGTTTTACCACGGCGACCTACGGAAAGAACAAATCAATTAAATTAAGTTACACAACATGTAGAATCCAATAATTACTTTCGCCGGAAGCTGACCGCAACGATACACGCCCTAATTGGCCTTGTTCAGCACAACCAACAGTGTAGACCTTTCCGGCACATGTAAGTATTACTAAGTGGTCAGCCCCGGAAGCGATGTCGCAGCATTTGGTGCCTGGCAAAACATCAATGGGAAGACGCTTATTTCCTTCAAGTGTCAAACCCATATTTCCATGTGAGTCGCGGAAGGAGCCCCATGCAAAAACGCGACCATCTTCCAGCAAACTGGCCGAATGTGAATCACCTGCTGAAATTTTAAGTACTTTTCCAGGTAGGTCAACTGGATGAGGTTCAAATTCCGAACCATCTTCGCTGCTATCACGGCCCAAAGCACCTTCATCATTACAACCGAACGAGTAAACAATGCCTTCGTGCGTCAAAACGAGATTGTGCATACCGCCCGCCCGCACGTCTACCACATTCTCTATAGAATCTACTAGAGCGGGTCTTTTGCGTTCGAATTTCGACTCATCGTCGCCGAGACCGAGTTGACCCATATCACCTTGCCCGCACACTAAAGCACGCCCCACCACGTTTGGCCGCTCAGGTAATGGCAGTAGAAAAGCTATACGTTGCCATTTTCGCTTCGGGGCATCTAATTCCTCATTGTTGTTGCTGCTACTATTTGAGGGGGTAGGAGCCTTTCTGCGTACGGCAATTCGCGGCATATTCTTAATTATTATTAAATGAAATTTGAGAAATTTACTGCTTGTATGGTTGCACTATCCGCAGAAACAGTGTGCGGTGAAACTCTTAAAAACAGAAAAAATTAACATTAAAGGTTAGACACGATTATAAAATTGTCGACGGTGATAGTTATACCACCATGTGTAATTCAAATTTACTGAGTCTAATACACTTACAATTTTTTAGCCTTTTTACGAATTTCACTAGGATGACACGCCGGCTATCATCCGGATGGAATTAGTAAAATTTAACTTTTGCGCCTTGATTTTAATGACGGTTTCTGCTGATCTTTTCGTATTTTGGCCAAACATATACTTTCTTCTGGTGATTCTAATAGACTGCACTTCAGATGTTTCCAAAATTTCAACGTTATGTCTGCACGCGCGGGAAAAACGGAAAACGGCCGGGTGTTGAAAAAATTAGGCTGGTTTTCTTTAGGAATGTCGGTAAAATATCGATGCATCGAGAATATCGATGCATCGAGAATATCGATGTTTAGCTTCGTGGCATCGACATTTTTCCTCTCGATGTATAAATGGTCGATGTATTGATGTTTTTTCAAAACTGACATATGTAGTACACTGAGTAGAGCTGTAAAACTATCGATAGTCATCCCATTCGATGTTTTCGATAGTTTGCATTGAAATTATCAATACTATCGATAGTATCGGATAATTTTAAAATACGTTGACGAAGCTATTTATATAAAGTTTTTAGTTTTGTTTAGTTTCTGAAGAATTAGCTAATTGTTATCTAGCGATTTTCAGTAACTTTGTCCTTTCTCTTCGATTTTTTAAATATTTTAAACCGATAATATTAAAACCTAAAATCCCCAATCGTAGAAAAACAGATCGCTTGGAAACGTAAAGAAAACTGTATGTATTACAAAAAACTTTCATCAGTGAACTCCGGCTGCGCCACAGTATTTTTGCATAGAACTCACTCCAAAATTTACGGAAAAGTCCATATTTCAAGCGTAGGTTAAAAGAACCCAAATCATTTTACAAATAGCCGAACCATACCCCGACTTCTACATGAATATTTGGTCAGTCAAAGTATCAAAAGAAAATAAAAGCATACCCAAAATTTGACAAACCCTGGCTTATATCAACAGTTTCTTCCATCGACGCAGAAGCACTAACACCATAGTAAGGTTCCAAAAAGATATTCAAATTAGTTTTTAACCGACTTCAAAAAAAGGAGGATGTTATCAATTCGTCGGAATATTTTTTTTTTAGGTACGTTACCGAATAACTTTAGACCACGTCAACCGATTTAGATAATTATTTTTGCATCGGAAAGGTACTAATCTTTAGATCCGATCATTGGATCATGAAAAAATTAACGGTACTCTTAGATTTTTATATGAGAATTGAAGTCGGTTGTTGTTGTTGTTGTTGTTGTTGTTGTAGCATCATACAAGTTCCACAAAGGGTTTTTGGGGAGTGTTGCTGGAGTGACAGTCCTTGGTCCTTGGTTTTCTTTTTTGGTTAAAAATTACTTGTTTTCAAATTTCATTACACCCGATTTACATGATTCAAGTACTTAAAGCAATTCTAGTTCATTTTCTTTTGTGTTTTCTATTTGCTTTTACATGCTTCAATTGTGTTGAATTCAAGTTTTTGGTTCTTTAAATGGGAAACAACGAAAATTTCAAAAGCAAAGCAAGAATGTTGAAAAGACTTGACGGTACGGACGCGTGTGTTCTCGTCCCTTTTCTTCTCACTCCCTCTCTTCCACATGCGAGCTGAATTAAATTCAATACATACTTGAACCGTGTACAAACCTGCTATGCAAATCGGGGTATGCCCTTCGATGCATCGAAAAATATCGATGTAGGTACATTTCGATGCATCGAATCAAAGAAAAAACATCGATGTATTTTTGCCACTGACATCCCTAATTTTGTTTTCTATATGCAATGCAAGTCACAAGTATCGTAGAGTTCCATAAGACTAGGTTAACACAGAGAAACTTTCGTTGCTCATTTTCGGCAATTTCTCTTTTGGTGGTGCCCTTTGCGTTCACACAGAGAAATTCTTTTGTACACAATTTTTGTTGTCAGCTGTGAATGGCCAACTAGAATTACTCAGACGAATGAGAGCACGACCAACTCGGTGCGCTTCCCTCTTCCTCGTCTCCCCCTCTACTACAAGTTTCTCCGTCTGAACCTAGACTTAGTGTATTGGTGTTTTTGGTTCAGTGTGTTAGTATATTTTGAATAAATTGTAATAGAAATAAAAGAAATTGGAAAAGATAAGAGCGCATGCCAAAAAACAGGTGATCTCAGCTATAGGTATTTTTTGGCAATCAGCTGATAGTTAGAAAATAAGTTTTTTCTTTCTTTCCTTCCCGCGTGGTCTTGTTAGCCTGAACACACAATGAAAACGACGAGCTACGGACCACAGCTGTCAAATTATTTTAACACGTACTCTTATGTAGATAATTATTTAGGCGACGACTGGGCTACGCGACGACTGTGGTTGTGGCCAGATTAGATCTATTTTTATTTTTCCAGCGACAGATAAGGTTCTTCCTCTTCTTTTATGTCAAACTCATACAAATTCATGTTGTCGCTGTCGCGTAAAAAAAAA